CTGTACCCTCCAGGGTGGCCAAGTTAATGCCCTTGGAGGCTCACACCCCCATCACTCTCAGGGGTTGGGGGAAAATTTCTCCTTTGATCTAAGAAGGAGTGCATTGAAAGCCTTCTGGGGACAGAGAATGGTCATTATTTCAGAAGAGATAATGAATGAGAAAAATGCTTTTTAAACCATAAAGCCCTAAACGTTAGTGATTGTTTTATTGTTTGTAATTTATTTATTAGTATTATTACCATTACTAATAAAATGATTCACCAAGCTTCCTGCTCCAGAGTTCCAATTTAGGCTATAATACCTCCGAAAGGTATGGCACAAGAAGCAGTGAGAAAAACAGGGAAGAAAGACATTATCCATCACCACTCTAGACTCTAGGGAAGAGTTGCCATGTGTGCAAGAGCCCATCAGGACTCTAACTGACTTTAAAAGTAATTTCCCATTGCTGAAATGATTCTCCTTTATCAATGATAACACACCCATGTATTCCTATTGTGAAAGATGTATGCTGCTGAGGTCTCCAGTAATTCCACCATGAAAAGATCATCTCTCCATACCTGAGAGGCTTAAAGTCTTGGCCACCTTCCCCGCCACCACTCACGGCCTTTTTTCAGACCCCTCCCCCTAAAAAGTTTCCCAACCATCTCACAAATTGGAATCACCCAAAAAGAAAAAAAAAGATAGGATTCAAGCGAAAATCTGAGTAAGCAAATGTATTTGGCACTAAGAGACGTGGAAAGTTGAGTCTGAAGCCAGACGTGGTTACTCTACTCTGCCATAATTCTACACACTTACATGCAGTGAACTTGGGGGCTTCAGATGAGTATAATGGGAAGCACTTTCGCATTTTTACTTTTGAGTATTTTTCAATAAATAAGTCCATTTAAGCTCCGAGGGGACAGACTGCCAATTGCTTTCTCAACCAGGACTCAAAAAAGAAAGAAAGAAAAAAGAATAATTTATAGTGATTAAAGATAAAGTAAAATATTAGTCTGGAAGAAGTACAATTTCAGGTTTAAAAGTTGGTTTTATGAGGGAGATAATCCTCCCATATTTTTTTCCAGGTCTATAAATGGAATTTTTATTTTATTTTTTCTCCAGCCCTCGGGTTGCTACAAAGATCGAACATGGGGAAGATTATTTCATTGATTTTCCAGGGGGCACTTGGCAATAACATTTGCAAACCCACCTCGTGCTGTTTAGGAGCATAACTTGGAAACGCCTTGCTAGCTGCTGCCAGTCAGTGGATCTCCACTTCTACTTTTACAGTCTAATGAAGACCCAGCCCTTTTCTATCTGGGGACAATCTGTGAGTTTGGTCAGTGTTTGCCATTGTGTGTCTTATGCTCATTATCAACAATTAACACAAAAAAACAGATAAGATCTTGGCTGTTTCAGCCTTAGGGAAAGACCAATGTTTTTTTTTAAGAAATGCCAATTAGAATATAAAACTTGATACCAGACCACTCATATTAAAGTCACAGAGAGTTCTGAAATATGTCCAATATAAACAATAACCCAGGTTTATAACATTCTGCTCAGATCTCTGCTTTGCACTTCAGAGGGTCCACTAAGGTACTTTCCAGAACAAGAAAAGAGATGCCACTCTGGCGTTCACCTGGGCATCCCCCTGCAGGACAAGAGCCAATTCAGGAGAAATTTTTTAAAAAATAACAATATTGGGCCACACTTTGGTATTCCACTTGGTAACAGTTTATGGAGTTCCATAACTCACGGTAAACTCCATGGTAAACATCTATAGTTATACAACTTAGATGATCTTCCTTATTGATGAGAAGAATGTAAATGAGAAAAAAATGGCACTGCTTATCAACCTCTAAAATTTTCAAGAATGAGCATAATTAAGAAGTAGACACAGAGAGACAAGGAGCAAATCTTTTATCCTAAATTAGGTTGCCAGCCATACTAAGAATCTAGTACAATTCTACTTAACCCACAGGACGGGATGCTGCTTATCAATGCCCAAAATATTTCCACAAATATCCACCGAGGAACTAGTGCGATTACAGGAAACACAAACACAAACCCAAAACTCACCTTTCTCATTCAGTTTGCAAATATTATGTTTTTCAGGGAATCTCAGGATAACAGATTTAATCAGACAACAAGGCAAATGTACAACACTGATTATTTCCAAGTAATGCTCTTGGAATGGAGATGGGTTTGATTTTTATTTAATGTAGGATGAGTGTTTCAAAATCAGCCAGACCTAAATTTAAGACTAGCTGTGTGACGTTAGACAAGTTACTTAACCACTCTGAGCCAGTTTCCTTATCTGTAAAATGAAGAATGTTATCTGTCCCATAATCTTATTGTTAGGATTAAATGAGTTAATAGATAAAAAGCAATTGAAACAGTGCCTGGCACATAGTAATCACTCAATAAATGCTAGCTATCCTTAATAGCCATAATCCCAGACCTTTCTCCTGCTGTGTTGTGATTTTCTGCAGCCATCACTAGCTCTAGCTATCACTTAAAGGGGGTAATGTGTGCATTTCTGAGAAAAAAGTCATCCCAGGAACACACAAGCAGATAGAGAAATGCTGATTGAGAATCAGAGAGCCCATTCATTTATGTGGGAGAGAGTTCCCTTTTTCTAGGGACCTCAAGGGAGCTAGAGAAAGTAGAGCCCAATGTGCTCACTTCCTACATCCATTTCTGGCCCTCTTACTTGTCTGTGAACAGATTCCAATGACATGTTTCCCAACAGAGAAAGCAGCTTTGTAAACCAGAGCATTGCAGAGAAAATTGCCAGAGACCTGCCATTCCCCTGCCCCTCCACCTGCCACCAAATAAGCATAGTTGGGGAGTCTAATCTGGCTTCTCCCCTCTGCTAAAAATGGCTGGTGTATAGTCAGCCTCTTTATGTGCTGTACTTCCTTGGAAGGGCCTTTCTAAGAACAAGAACAGGCTGAGTCTTTTTGGCTTGATAGAGAGCCATGCTGCCAACACATTTTGAGACCAATGCTTCCAACACAGAATGGTTAACCAAACTGTCAAGGGAGGATTCTAGAGGGAATACCAGAAGCGCATTCCAAGCACGGGCTTTTAAGGCAAACAGATCTGGCTTTAAATCTTAGATCATGCTGCCATTTATTAGCTTTGTGGACTAGGGCAAATTAGTTACCTTATTCTACCTTGCTTCTCCATCTAGGTTGACTATTCATCCCAATTTGCCTGGGACACTCCTAGGGCATACCAGTTGTCCTTGGATAATTAATAAAAGCTGCCCTATCACTCCAAAAGGGCTTCGGTTTGAATAATAAATTACATGACCACCTTATTCTTCTGCAAAATTAAAATAATAGTCACCTCACAGGGTGTTTGTGAATGCTAGCCATAATATGTCTTAATTGCTACCACAATGCCTAATGCATAGAAAATGTTCAGCAGAAACGAGTTCCCTCCTTATCCATTTCCTTCAGATCTACACTGTCCGACACATTAGCCTTTAGCCTTACGTGACTGTTAAGAACTTGAAGGTGACTAGTTCAAGCTGAGATGTACTGTAAGTGTAAAATAGACCAGATTTTGAAGATTTCGTACAAAAAAGAGGATAAAATATCTCATTAATAATTTTATGTTAATTACATGTCCAAATGATGTTATTTTGGATATTAGGTTAAATAAAATAATTAAAATTAATTACACTAGTTTCCTTTTAGCTTAGCTACTAAAAAATATATAAAATTACGTATGTGTCTTGCATAATATTTCTGTTGGGCAGCACAGCTCCACATGGTCCATTTATGTATTTGCTACCTCTTCACAAACCTGGTCACACCAACACCACCCCACGGCACCTCCCTAATTCTTCCTTCGAAAACTCAAGGTGAGAATCGGATATTCTTCTATCATATTTAACATATTCTTAAATTTATTCTAGGTTTTTGAAGGTAAAAGAGCAGTAAACTAAGGGGCAAAATAAAATCAGCTTTGCTTATGTCTCTCAGCAATGGTTTGTCCTAAGGGATAGTGTTATCCCTTAGGATAACTGAAGGAAACTGTTAGGAAAGCTGAAGAACCTGGGCCAACCTTGGAAAATGTCCATGTTGGCAAGAAAGAAAGGAGCTGGATTTGCCAGAAAAGATATCGCAATCTCTCCCTGGATCAGATTTGCTAATTCTTGTGAATGCTTGTGAAACACCTCAGGTCCCAAATCCAAATAACATAAAGAACTGGGGCCCGTGAACATACCATAGGTTCTGCCTTTGAAAAGAAGCATTTCACGTCATCAAAAATCACCAACTTTTATCCTCAAAACTATCTTCTAGGAGCACTAAAACAGCCCCTAGCCTGACTCTTGTAGATGCCCCTGACATATGGATGGGAGAGCTGCAGAACAGCAAAGCATAGAGCAAATTCACTCCAAAACAATAATTTAATTCAATCAATGCCCATGCTACACTGATACAACTAGTTGAAAAACACCAACTTTCAATTGTTAAAATATTAGCAAATTGGATTTTTAAGACATTTTTATCAAATAATCAAAACAAAAATTTTTTAACCTTAACGAAATCTTTTCAGATATGCAATATTTTTTTTAAAGATTTGTCCAGAAGAACACTATTGGCTGAGGTGGTTGTCCTGGCATCGCATGTCAATTCTCTCATAGAGATAAAGATAAATGATTCAAACTGGTTTCTTAGCACAACCCAGACAGACTGTAGTCAATGCATTGAATTTTTCATGTTTCAACCATTTACTTTAGCACTGTGCAGACATAAGCATGGACATCACACCTCAGAAGAGCACAATCTTTACTGATGGCCCATAGTTTGGAAGGAGGGTAATGACAGACAATATGAGAAGGATGTGTTGGATAGATCTAATATTTAATGTGTTCCATGAGATGCTTCATGTCTGACTCCACCAGCTCTCATCAGCTAACTCCCCCACCCACTCACCCCACAATCAAATAATTCCCCTCTCTTTGATAAGGAGCCAACACAGGGAGAGGCAATGGTTTGGAACAATAGCATCTGAAGTGGAAGAAAACATAGCTGAGCCTTTCACTTTCCCTCTCTAACCACAACAATTGGAGGAGACTTCAGCCTGAAAAATCTATCTGCTACTAAATGGTACCCAGATGGAAATCACAGCTGCTCTCTGGTACCAGCTGTACCTATGCCCATCCATCTTCAGAACATGCCTGCGACTGAGGAGAGAGAAAAATTGGGTTGACAGAGCAGTTAAAGAGCCTCTCTTTTCTTCTGCACACTTTTCCTTTTATCTTTTTCCCTTCAGTTTCAGAGCTCCTTGTTCTCACCTTCATGCTGTAGCAGCGTTGACAAAAGAAAACTGCAGCCTTGGAAAACCAGTGGTGAGTAATAGCCCCAGGCTCTGAATACCTAATGCCTATTGTATGCGTGTGTGGGAGGGAGAGCCAGAGGCAGGGGAGGAATTTGATCAAACTGCCTGGGTAGGAATAGGACCTTGTGGTGAGGACCCCAATGCACCCAGAGAATATCTGAGTTTTGAAACCTGTCTTCTAATTAAATGCAAACATCCAGTGTGCACGGCCTTTAGGAATGCATTGTTCAAACAGATTTGATTCTTGCCCAGAGCCTTTTCAAGCCACTGACCACTTTGAACCTAATTAGAAAAAGCAGAGGACACTGGAGACATTTAATGAAAGGAATCGGGTTGCTGCTTCATCTTCATGACCTGGGATTTATAAGGGAATTTCACTGGCTTTGTAGCAATGTAAAATAAATAGACATTAGATGATGACAGGGAAAACAAAATTGCTGCCAAAGCTAAAAAGAGCTTGGCAAAAGAAGAAAGAACTACTACATAGTCAGTCATTATTTACTGTACAAACCTTTTCATAAAGCATAGAAGAGAGATACATAGGAATAATGGGCCCTTGCTAAAAGATGAAAAGGGCTTTCTATAGCTACATTATCCCCTGACTAAGGCACTGACGTGTCCCAGTTGTTACACAATCTTATTGTTCTATTCAGCCATTCAGAAAGCTGAATGAACAGCCCTGCTCTGGAACTTTTAAAGGCTGAAATAAATAGCCCTCGAGTTTCCAAGGAAAAGAATAAAACTCTAATGGAAATAACTAATTAATTTGTTAATCCTTGCAGATTGCCACGGTCCATTGCATATGCTCTAGCCAGTTAATTATTCTTGGGCCTGTAATGCTACAATGTAAATCAGTGCAGTTCCCTAATTTACCAGCTCCTGACAAACAGATCCAGCTCTTCCTTATTGAATTTAAAAGGAAGAATGCTTTGCTTTTTGTTGGTGGTGGTGGTGCTGAGCAGCTAGTGACCCACTGTGATCTGAAAGAGTTCCATTTCCTTAAACCTTTAAGAAATGCTTTCATTCTACATTACGTTTCTCCCTCCCCATCCCAGAAAGCTGCTATCATGTGGTTTCTTTAACTAAAGTTGTGTCCACTCAATCCAACAATAGGAAATTATTTTTAAATGTTAAGGAAGAAAAATGTTTTTATAACCTGTAAAATGCTCATAGCTGTAAAGCAGCATAATTATAAACTTGGCCTAGCATAGAACAAGAGATGCACAACAGAAAGATCTGGAGGGCAAAGCTCTATGATGTATTAACGCTAATTAATGGTCTATTGTTCTGCTAGACTGCACTTCAATAGCTAAAATCATAGGTAGACTCATTTAACCTTTCAAATGTGTGTGCGAGCGTGGTGGGGAAGGAGACTGGGGGACTGGGGTGGAGAGTGAGAACAAATGTGTTCCTACAACATCGGAGAAATGCGGAAGAAGATAGTCAAAAACGCAGCCAGAAGAAAATACAACAAGGGACAATTCTAGCAAAGGAAAGAACATTGATCCTATAAACTGTACTGATATCTTTGACAGTACTCAAAGCAGAGCAAACCCCCATTTAACTATGGTGGTCAGAAAACGGAAGCTTCTGATTAATCCCATGATCCAACGCAGCGTGGGGCCAGATGAAGACTGCTAACTGAGTGCTCACCCTGACCCTATATCTTTATGACCAGAGGACATTTGCTCTCTATACGCCATTGCTTCCTCAACAGGAAAACTGGGGAAATGACACCTCCCCCCTCACGATGCAGTAATTTCAAATCAAATACCAAGATTACAGGAAGATATTCTGAAAGCTGTAAAGACCTGTATGAAGGCGTAATTAAATGTATTACGGTAAGGAGTCATCACATATATAAGCAATAGATTAATCAGTTTCAAAGAATATAAAAAAATATTCAACACTACAACAATCTTGAATACAATTTAATCTTTCATTGAGGGCTTAGATAGTGTTTTAGGAAGTGGCAATGCCACCCTCTGCCATGACTATAGGCATCAATTACATAAATATTCAACCGAATTACATGGCAAAAATTAAAATTCTGATGATTTCATATATGTGGTTGTTTGAAATGTCAATTAGGAGTAGCTACTATATCCCATTATGCCTTTCAACTTCTTCACTATAAGTTGTATAAGAAATATGACGCATCCGTTAAAAAGAATAATTTAGAACTACATCAATTGACTTAGAGGATTTCCATAAGATATTATTGATTAAGCAATATAAGAAGGGGACAAGGGTATATGAGTTTGGGGAATAACCAGAGATACTGTCAATTTGGAGAAAATACTCTTACTCGTCTCTTTACTTCTATCTGTTGGAGTGTTCTCATAATATACTGCCATCTACTAGAAAATATAAGTACAAAAACCTGCACTGTCTGCAGTATAGTGGGAACCCCATTAGTTGTGGTGCGCCTGTGCAGTGAACAATTCCCCAGTGACGGAGGGTGGCCGTGGGATGTTTAGTTTTATACTTTATGCCTTCTTTTTGTATTATTACATTTATTGCAAAATTTCATGAGCCACCATTTTCAATTTGAAAAACATCAAATAGGTAACATTAAAAATATATATCAGGGAGCCAGCCCTGTGGCCTACTGCTTAAGTTTGGCATGCTCCACTTTGGCGGGCAGGTTCTGTTTCTGGGCACAGACCTACACCACTTTTTGGCAGCCATGCTGTGGTGGTGACCCACATACAAAATAGAGGAAGCTTGGCACAGATGTTAGCTCAGGGTGAATCTTCCTCAGCAAAAAAGACTTATATATATGTGTATCAGTAGTCCCTAAAATGAATTTTAAAGGCAATGATAAACCTAAAACCCTTAGAGCAGGTTTCTGAATGTCTGAATATAGACATAGGCTCATATGATTTCTACCTTGTTTTTCCAGAATTCTACTGTGTGCTTGAGCCCCATCACTTAACATCTTTGCTCCTTTCTCACATTATTTATAAATTTTGTAATTATATTTTTATAAAAGTACTTAATACCTAGTGAGAGATGAAATGGTTAATCTATAATCTTTAATTTATATGCAGTAAATCTACCAACTTTTATAGAAGAGTTTCATAAGTTTTCAGTTACCATAATGCTTTAATTTTTTAATGCATAAGCATCATGTCAAATTATAAATGGATTTTGAGGCTCTGATTCAGCCAAAATAATTTTCTGTGTTTCTGTTTGTGTTGTCCAGTGTCACCTCCAATGTTTTAAACAAGTATTACGAGTGTTATTAGTATTGGAAATCACCCAGCTGTCCAATAGAAGGGGACTGGTTAATTATAATATATTCATATTCTAGAATACTAGAAAGCCATTAAAATGATGAGGCAAATATACGTAATGTTTAGGAGAAAAAAATGAAGTTAAAAAACCATGTGCAGAGTATGCTAGGTAGATATTGGTTCTGATGAAGGATGGATGGATAGATATTCATGTCTCTGTAGAATAAACCTGGAATTTCATGCAGCACAATGTTTCAGTGTTGATTCATTGATGGTTGGAACATGGGTGATTTTCATTTTCATACTTATGCATTTCTGTGTTTCCTGAACTTTTTATAATCATCATGAATTTCTTTTTTTTAGGAATTTCATTGCAAAGATTGTGCTGGGAAAGTTTCTCTCTCCCACCAACAAGTATTTTGGAGGAAGGAACCTTGAACACCTGGAGGAATATTCAAGATTTAACTTAACAAATAAGTAGCATCCACGGTCTTCACATTAGGACAGCTTGTTAGAATTTGAGTCTCGCTTTCAGTAAGCATCAAGGTTGATTCTCATATGTGTTTTCTATTCGTTTACTTCTTTAATCACTTAAACAGAAAGGAAAGAATGTTGTGTCTTGGCCTGTTAGTTCAGAATGGATGGAACGGACTAGAAGGAAATAGACAAAGAAAAAGTGAAGATCATCCCCATTCTCTCTAGGTGATGGCAGCCCAGATTAAATATGGTTCTCTATATTGTCTCTTTATTTACACCTGTATCTGTATCCCGACAGTGTAGACTATTATGTTCCCAACACCGTTTTCAATTACGAGAATACAGACAGCTCCTGCCTTACAATGGTTCGACTTATGATTTTTCAACTTTAAGATGGTGCTAAAGTGGTATTCATTCAGTAGAAACTGTATTTTAAATTTTTGAATTTTGCTCTTTTTTTCCTAGGCTGGCAATATGCGGTACAATCCTCTCTCATGACGCTGGACGGCGGCAGTGAGTGCAGCTCCCGGGTCAGCCCCGCAATAACCAGGGTAAACAACTGGTACACTGACAACCTTTCTCTTCAGTACAGTATTCAGTAAATTACATGAGATATTCAATACTTCATTATAAAATAGGCTTCGTGCTAGATGATTTTGCCCAACCATAGGCTAATGTCAGTGTTCTGAGCACGTTTAAGGTAGACTAGGCTAAGGTAGGATGCTTGGGAGGTTAGGTGTATTGAATGCATTTCGACTTATGATATATTCAACTTACGATTCATCTGGAGTAACCCCATTGTAAGTCAAGGAAGATCTGTACAAAGATGAGAAAGACACAATGCTGCCCTCAAGGAGCTTATGATTCATTCTGTGTCAACACAATTCTGAAGCTTCAATACAAACTGACACAACCAAGAGAATTAGCCAGAGGACCAACTGTTTTCAAAATATACACTCATTTCACCAAAGCCAGGAATTTTCCTTTTCAAAGCATAATTATACTTTATACAAGGAGACAGCCATTAGCACTAGTGAAAATGTGTCACCTAATTTATAGACATCAAAGTTGAAAATCTTCACAAGTCATTGGGAAAAAACATCTTTAGTCTCAGTTTGCAGATGAAAGTGAAATGCCGTGTGTTCACTGCCATGTGGGTGTCTTTCTGCAGACCTGCCACTAAGCAGGCATAACCTTCAGGGGAGAAGGCAAACTGGAAAACGAGGTGAGAAGTAGGAGAGTCTTGGGAAGCTAATGGAGAGAGTTGTTTAGTGTAAAAGTTTCTGTCTGCACACACAGCAACACTCACATGGTTAGAACAAAGAGTAATTGCAGCATGCTTTATTAATTGAAAGTAAATGCTCTCTTTGTGAAATGGCTTGATACTGAAAAACCAAACACATGATAAAAGGACTTGCACAGCCAGCAGAGAAACCTCAGCTTTGAAAGATCTGCCAGGAAGGAGAAAGTTTAGAATGGATTTGTTTTCTGGCTCCTCACAACAAATAAACCACCAAGGGAGCCCCAAGCATCTGAATAATGAATCAATCTCCCTGTTGTTGCCCCTCTCCCTCTTGGTCTCCCTCTCCCCTATCCTCTCCCCCTCCTCCCCTCACTCCCCCTCCCTCTTGCTCTTCTCTCTTCTCATATGTGTGTTGGAAAATGGTAAGCAAGTAACCGGGGAGTTGCTATATTTTGGGTCCTCTCATTCATGAGGCAACTAGTACCTGAAAAAAAAAATGAATTCCATACATCCTTCCCAAAGAACTAGGGGCTTACTATAAGACTAAATAAAAATTCCTTCTCTAGCTTATGAGTCATTTTTCCCATTGTTAAATAATTATGGTCAGCATTCAACAATTGTGTTCATGAAGTGAATATGTGGCTATATTGCAGATTGAATCTCCTTATCTATTTTATTCCTAGGTTCAGCGTCAGGTGGCTAATTTACACATTTAACAATGTGGCTGCATTAGAGGGACTGAATTGGCCATAATGACCAAATCCTATGTGAATAAATTTAAATTCGCTGCTGGGCACTACTGTAAAACGGGTGTGCTGAAGTGTTTTCCAGTGAAGATAGATTGCTTTGAGCCTCGCAGAACTGAACCCAAAGTATCCTTTTATTATGCAGTGATCAAAACCACAAAAACATTATTTCACTAAGAGTGTTTGTCCCTGAACCAACACAATGTTGGGCTCAGGCAAAAGCCACACGCATACACAGCACACCCTATGGGATCCAGTACTGCCTAGTCCTCTCTCTTCTCCTAGACACATAAATTTGTGCCATGCTGTGAGTTTAAGTCAATGAGGTACCTTCTCAAGACAATATTTGTTGGTCAAATGATGTCTAAATGTGCAAGGAAAGATTTTAATTACCTTTCCTCTGTATAAATATTTCAGGCACTAAAAAATGGGCTGAGGAGGTGGCACTGTCAAAAGCCTACACCATGTTTTCCTCCCAGAAATGAAACAGTCCCCTTTGCAAAGGAGATAGAAGTGGTAGCCCAAAAGGAGGCAAAAGGAGGTAAATGTGTTCTTGAAGTGACCCCTGCCCAGGAAGTATCTGTTCTTCTTGGTGTCTGGAATGCTTCAATCATATTAAATGTATTTTCTAATTAAGTGTTTGAGGGCTATGGAAAATTCCTCCTGGACTACATACAGAACAACTGAAGGACATGATTTTGGTGTCTACAGTCAATTTGTCAGTCCAATGTTAGCCCTGATTTTTTATCTTTGAGAATCTATCATCGCATCACTGGACTTCCCGGTGTGAGAGTCTTTTTACTACAGTGAGCAAGAAAGTAGATTTTTACTTCTTTATTTTATACTGCTATTTTAGTTATGTCCGTTTTCTTCCCAGTGCTAACAGAGAAGAAAGTGAATCCTTTCGGGGAGTTCTAGGTCTGGCTTGATGGTTTCAAAAGGATGTAAGGGACTTGTGAGAAGCAAAAAGGAAGATGGGTCCAGAATAGAAGGAATGGAATGAGAGCCACAGCAAAACTGAAGGCGCTGGGGAAAATCCACAGCTGCACCAGTCCAGGTAACACACCATAGCTGAGCTCAGATTGCATTTTATCACCGAGGCGCATACAGCATGAGCCATTTTTAATGCTGAAATGAAAGTGATTAAAAGGTTATTTTATAAAACTCAAAAGCAAAAAGTCCTCCTTCCAATGCCCTCCTTTGTTTAGCCATCAATGGCATTCACTTTTTCTATTAGATAACTAAATTTAAAAGAAAAGTATTCACAAAATCCAAACTCTAAAAGCTTCAACGCTGGAAACAAGGTTGAACAACATGCAAAAATCATTCCAACTGCTGTTTCCAAACAGGAGCTATGAAGGAGGGAATCTTGTAGTGTCACTTAGCCAACTGTCATATTGAGGAAAAGTGAATGTACCAGTTGATGTAATGCTCCTGGGAGGTGGGAGGAGTAGTGGTTTCTTTGAAAAGAGAGGGGAGAAGGGTCAGGGAAGTATGGCTCTAACCTGCGAACAGTGGTTGAATTGTTTAGAACGTTGATTCAGGATCTTACAAAGGCCCCATTATCCCTACTCTCCAGGTCGATTGTGCACCTGACAAATGGTAATGGCAACATTAGCAGACCTGAGAGAGTTCTCTAGCTCTCTAATGTCTGCCAATATTAAGTCTGATAGCCTCTCTCTCTCCTTCTCTCTCTCCTTCTCTCTCTCTTTCTCTCCTATTTTGATAGCTGCCTGCTGTTTAAGCAAAGCACTGGGTTTCCTGACAGCTGAGGCCCAGGTGGCCTGAGTATCAATCTAAACAAGTTGACGTGAAATTGATCTTCCAGGCTTGGGACTAAGGGAGCTGGTGTCAACAGAGCATTCCACCTTCAGTAAAGATAATTCTTTCATCATCAAGGGTGAGGGGAGGGAGGACTGAGAAGAGCTGACACAGGTGTCCAACTTGCCCACTTTTATTTGCTTTTGAAACTCCAATGGCGATGACATCATCCTATCAAAGGACTGTGTTTGTTGGTGTTTGTTTATGTGGGTTGTCAGTATATAACCACACACAGTTACAGCTGGGATCAACCCTCTATATTAAAAAGATGGAAAAATTGAACCACAAAAGAAACTCTGGGCAGAGAAACGTTGATGGAAGCAAACAAGGAAAATGCAACCTGGGTGGAAATTTCCATAGCTTTAAAAACAATCTGGAGCATGTGGGCAGACTAGTGGTTCAGAAAAATACATACAGTTCACTCTTAATTGTGCCCACCAATAAAATCCAACTAATAGAAAAAGTCATCCAGAAGTAGTTTTCTATTTAGGTTTTCAAATCGATATGTGAATTTTTGGGAAGAAGACTTATTTTGTTTAAGTTTGGCTTAGGATTCACTTGGCTTTGGCACTTCATTAATCTTTTGGGGCAGTACGTAAGTTCAAAATAGAAGCCAGAGTGACCTTTGTGTCTGTCTGAACCTAGTGTTGTCAATGGAAAAAAAAAGAAAAAAGCTTTGTAGAGAGAAAATGAGTCGTACTCACGAGTTTAGTTTGGTGGCATGAATAGGGGCAAGTCTTTCTTGAATCTCACTGACTTGGAACAGCTGGAAATGAGGCATGACCTAGAGCTGCAAGCAGGATCAACACTAACCCCTTATCTATCACAGTTGTCCTGAGATTAGGCTAGATCTTAAAAACGCTATGAAAACTGATTGGGAAGTGAAAAATGTAGATAAGCACTGGTTCTCCGGTTTCCATAACACTAGAATGAGTTGATGTTGGAGACGTACTCTTTCCCACTTAAAAAGAACATTCTGAAAACTCAACATCAGCCTATAAAGATGAAAAAAATCTACGTTTAAAAAACCAACCCAATGCATTCAAGAGCATCTTCTAGTTTGGAGAATGTAAAATCAGGGTAAGAAAATGTGTAGACTCTGCAGAGTCTTGGAAGAGTTGGGCACTAGCACTAGATGATTTAAAGATTCGCACTGTCCTGGGCCAGTTCGATGACTCTATATGGCCTGAAGTTGAACATGCAAACTCTTTTAGCTACAATCTAACTTTACCTCTGAAATTCAATGGAAATAATAAAGAACACTACAAATATGATAGAGTCTTGCTAAGAATACTGGAGAAATCAGTGGTCGAGTATGGTGAGGAATAAAATGGGGACACTATTTGAGGTCTTGTTCCTACACACTTAATGAGGTAAAATAAACTATTAAACTTCAGTTCAAACCTACACCAGATGAACCTTTCTAGAAACATTTCCTAGAGCTTGGTGAGAAAACATTTTGGGTTAGTGGAACTGAAGTCATCTCGTTTCTTTACTTCAAACAATGGCAATTAATCCTCTACACACCAAGTTGAATGAGATTTTCCACCCCAACCTAGAGAGTACTAGAAGCCACAATATCTGGTGAGCCCATGAGCTGCTTGAAAAACAAGATAATTTTCATGATGCAGTTCTTCTATGCTGGTAAGAGAAACGAAGGGTATGGCCTCTCGCACGTTGCCTAATTTCATTGTCTTGTCTTAGTGCATAACATATCCATTAGACAGTGCTACCAAAGTTTGTCAATATAAACAAACCCATACAATAAATCCAGCTTGATGAATCACTGAATATTTTCCTCTGATCACTGCTCTACAGACAACTTGAACTAGAACTATAAATATTCTGGATCAGTTCTGCTCAAATGCACTTGTTCTTCATATGCATATAATAAAATGTATTCATGTCCCCTTTTTTTATCACCATAAAGGTATGAAATATGCAATCTAAGTGAACACTTCGGGTAACTTGTTTACTGCTATATTCTAGAATCCAGTTTATTCTTGGCCAGTAGTAGATGTTCAAAATAAGTAATTCAAGCTTGCCCTTTTAATAACATGAGTTCTTTTTAATCCTAACCATTTTTATCACATACATTTCAATCTTAATGAACAGGGCATTCTAAATATAATTCCATGTTTTGTTAACAAATCATGTTTACACAGAAAGCCTCAATCATTTAATGTGCGATAGCGGTGGTGCCTTTAGAGAGAGTGGAGGGGTGCAAGGCAATTTTTCCCTACACTGGATGATCCCTTCATGACATCCTTTTATAACATTAAGCTCAGAAAGCCTGCTTCCCTCAGAGTTCAGCTTCTCTCCACTCATCATCCATCCATTCCCTAAACATTTATTGAGCACCTACCTTATATAAAACCAGACACTGAAGTACTAAAACTCCTATAGGCTTTATTCCTATAGAGAAAAGTGCTCACACTTTATGATAACCATTTTCCATGCTGCTCAGAAACTCTTTTAACTCATGTACGATTTTGTGCCTGTGTTCTAAATGACCACGGTTTCTAGATTTCCAAATTCTAGGTTAGTGGGCCATTAGCGGAGTTAATTTTCTTGCTTTTTACCTTTACTCAGTGCTGGCACGTAGTTCTCCATCACATTTTATATCTTGACTTCTAATGATGCATAAGTCAGGAGACTGAACAAACTCTCCCTTACTCTGTGGTGACTAGCACAGTACTGATTCTGAAAGTATATCTCACAAGTATTTTGGGTTGGTGGAAAGTTATAACAGAGTAGGATTTGATTTTTGAAAAGCCTCAGGCCCCACATTCACACAACTCAAAGATTACAAGTCTACCTCTTTCCAAATTGTTGCTCTGATTTCATTCTCAGTGATGTGTGTCTGCTCAAATCAACACCATTTTGTTGTCAACGCTTGCGCTCGATTCATGCCATGCCCCGACAGGAGGTGCATGGACCAGTACAGAGGGACTAGGCAAAT